CCCCCATGAGAGATGCAGAGATGAGAGACCCCAGGGATGCAGCCCATCTTCCTGCAAAACAGGTAATCAGGAGAGGGGGCAATGTTTTATTTATTCATTTTTATTAGTAGTTCTGTGTATGTGTAATGTGTGTGTTTTAATAAGTGCGTGAAGCGTGTGTTTCATTACGTGTGTATGTGTTTTATTAAGTGTTTAAATGTTTGAATATGCGTGTTTCCCTATTTTGCCTAAGGCCCCATTCACACTGTGTAAAATCCCGCTATTTCGCGCATTATCGCGAGGAGTCGCCGGCCAATGTTATTCAATGGAGCTGTTCTAATGTACAGCGCCATGTCGCCCGTCGCTTCAGCAGGATCCTTTTTTCCGCGATGCTACCACCTGAGACTTTTCAGTTGATCACGGCATCCCAAACCCTCGCTTTTGATGTCGCAGAAGACCAAAACATGTTCTAACGACGACCAGCGCTCCCAGACGTCCTTGCAGCGCTTCCTATCCACACCTGCCTCCTCTACCCGCAGCTCATCTAAGGGCCCCATGACCCCCGGGACGCAAGGCACAGCCCCGAGGCCTACTTCCCTTCCACAGCTTCGGGAAGCCTCGGCCTCGCCAGCCACCAGACGGAACAACGTCAAGCTCCGGGGGCTCCCGGAGGCTACGACTCCGACAGGTCTACGCCCAACTGTGACCGCCATCCTCAACGCGTTTTTGGACAAGGCCCCGGACTCACCGTTGGAGATAGACCGCATGCACCGCGTTGGCAACTCCAGACCTAATGGTGATGTGAGGCCTAGGGACGTCCTTTGCCGCATACACTTCTTTGCGGAAAAAGAAGCGGTCATGCGCAAAGCTTGGCAGAAGTGCCCGGTTCCCTTCGATGGAGTGGACATCTCCATCCTGCGGGATCTGTCTCGTCGCACCCTCCACATGCGAAGGATTCTGCAACCCCTCCTAGCGGTGATCTGCACGACCAGAGCCCTGTATACCTGGGGCTACCCCTTCAGCCTTAATGTCCGTAGGAACAACCGGACCTTCACTCCCCGTAGGGATTTCCCCTTTCTGTTCCCCCAGTGCTGACTGGAGGGACAGACAGGGGAGGGGGTGGGCATATCATAATTGTCAATCATAGCTTTGCTGGATGCAGCATGGCTCTGCGCTGTCAGCATATAGCGGGCGATAGTCTGCTATTTGCTGAGTTTTGGGCCACAGGAGGACATTAGTAAATGTCCTCCTGTGACCCAAAAGAGGACTAAAGCCAAAAAAAAGGTTTGGCCATAGTACACTATTAAAGCACGCCTCCACTTATCCCCCCACCAAATAAATAAATAACAAAATAAAAACAATGATTGAAGCCTGAAAAAAACCATGAAAAGGACCTTGACCATTAGCTTCCAGCCACTTCCTGTAGTGACCTAACCAGTCCCTATCCGCTGCCTCCTGGTCCTGGGAAAGCAGAGTCTTGAAATCCCACTACAAGTGCATTCTTGCTGGATTTTGAGGACTGTGCTTTAGTCTCATCTTTAGCCCCAATAAAATACTGTCATATCAGATGAATGGACATATCAAACATGCTTCTTTTTTTGTTGCAGCAACATGAGAAAAATGTGAAGCACTACAAAAAAACTTACAAGAATTTGGAGAAGTATATTAAAAATAAGGAATCAAATGAAGAGCTGGACAAAGAACTGCAGGATGTCCTTGTCGCCTTCTCTGAAAGGAAACACATCTTTGATGTAGTTGGTAAGTCCTGATGTATGAAAGTAGAGGAAACCTGGACTAGCATATGTAGGTCGTCAATGCTGATTTATTTGTGTGAAAATGCTAATCGCCTGGCGGGTACACTGATCAGCAGAATGAAACAAAACAACTCTTGATATTCATCTAGTCCACGTATGCCAAATCTCTCCACATGGCTTTAGGCCAAGCTCATAAAAGAACAATAGATTCTACAAACAATCAGCCTACTAATCTCTTCACCAATGCTACTGAATGTATTCCTGCTCAAAGCCCAAGTATTGGATAGATAAGAGTTTGAATTTTCATCATATGTGCCCCCATTGGGGAGATTTCCCCTGACATCCTATCCCAGGGTGACAACACAGGAACAATTTCCCCAATGGGAAAACATAGAGCAGTAAAGACCACAAGCATTTTAACCTGCCCAGCTCTACTAAAACATACAGTTATTCCTGTGTTGGCCCCTTTCAAGAGATTCTGTACACTTTCTGCCCTGATCACTTCCTGTTTCAAATCAGGTCAGGAAGTGAGGAAAATCTCCCCAGTGCGGATTTAGGCAGAAATGGGAAAAAAACTTTACAGGGGTTCTGACCCTTCCTGACTCAAGACACTCTTAGCCAAAACTTAAAAAATAGCACGTTTTGGCTGTAGTCAGGTTTCAAAGAAGAACTCCAGGCAAAATAGTATTAACCCTTGTAGTGGGGCTAAGTTAAGGGTTAACTGCTCGTTTGGGTTTAGGGAGGAAAACAACAAAGTTATACTCACCTGATCCTCTGATCTGGCTTGTTGTTAGACCAGTCCCTGGAGTATCACCCCCTTCGCCGCAGCGGTCTAAGGTCCCTGAGTCATCACGTTCTATACACAATCTATAGGATGTGAGGACGCCAAGGAACATACCATCACAGGGAGCTGTCACAGCCAAACCGGCTCCAAGGAACGCGTGAGAATAGCGTTATTTTCCTCCCTAGACAAAACGAGCACCTAACTCATGCAGGCCCACTGCGAGGGTTAATAATGATTTTCTGTTTTAAAACAAGAAAAAAGGAGTGCACAAATCAATACACCAATGCCATTTAGAACTAATGGTTGATATTTTCTACAGGGGTAGAGCAAAGTGCCGAGAAGAATGTAAGAGAAAGATACATGGACATTGTACAGCGCCGTAAGCTAGTGGATCTTGTGAAGGCACAAGCTCAGGAGATCGCCATACAACACACTGATCTTGATCGGCTGAGGATGAAAACCTTCCCGGCATTAATGCAAATGGATTACTAGGCTTTACCATCCCATAATAACCCAAACTAATATTGTATCTGTTATTCATATTTATTATGTCTGGTTGGCTCGCTCCTTTCAAGTGATTCAGTGTAAAACAGTTTCTCTCTCATGAATAAATCATTCGTATTATTGTTTGTGTGTAATACGTTTTCCTTGTAATTTGCTGTCAGTGTCTTAAAGCTAAACAAGACTTTTCACATTTCAAATGTCACTTGATTGCTGTATGAACTGAGGCGGAGCAAACATCTCAGCCAGGGATGAGTCTGCCCCTATTCTGGAGTAATGTTAAATGGCCTAAACATTTCCTCTCTCCTTGTGCAGGCAGCCTGTAGTGGGTGGGGCCTGCTGGGTCCCTCCCATAGCTCTGCTCTCTGCACAGGATATGTACAGCACAGTGATGATATCACTGTTACTTTTATAAGGTATTATCTGGGTTTTGTAAAGGCATTTAGTGCACACAAAGTTGATATACATAGTTTGTGCCTAATGAGGTATATGTATAAACTTCAGCTTTAACCATTTCAGGACTGTAATATGTATTTAAACAGTGCGGTCCTGAAGTGGTTATACCACGGCTACTATTTTTTGGAGCCAACGCCTGGCTCCAAAAGCGTTTGGGCGGCTGTACAGCCATCTGATCACTGGTATGCAGTTACTGTGCGACTTTCCCCCTACGCCACCACTGCCGGCTATCCCATGTGTGGGCCTGGGACCAGAACAGCGGGTGTCAGTGGCTGAACACTTTCAGCAGCTGATCTCTGGATCACTGAAACCAGACGTGACAAGGATTTCATCACTTCCAGTTTCAGCTGCTATGGACAAAGAAGAAGCTGCTGAAACAGGATCTGTGCTTCTCAGCTTCTTTGAGGTCCCTAGGTGACATTAGGGGTCTAGTAGTCCCCTGATGTCTCCATAAAGGGGACCTGTTACTGTATCTGTGCTTTCACATAGGGGTCTTATAAGCCCCCTATGTGATAGCAATAAAGTTAAAGGGTTATTAAACCCTCAGCGGTTTTTGCATATATCTACTGCTAGCAAGCAGTAGATATATGAAAAACGATTAAAAAAACAAACAACTTTTTCTAAGGGTTAATACTTACCTGTGTCTCCGCCGCCCCGCTCCCGTCTGAACATCTGAAAATTTATCGGGCAGCCGCAAAGGATCTTGGGGCAGGCGCATGTGCAGTTCAGATGTTCGGCCGGGAGACGAGGAGAGACACAAGGTAAATCTATGGAGCAGCGTGCACCCGCACAGACTCCGTGGGACATGAGAGAAGAGGAGGACAAAGGAGTCAGTGCTGGATCGGAGACCTGCACCAGCGCTGGAGAGAAGGCTGAAAACTACAGGAAAGAAGATGATCGGATTAAGAGGCATGATTTAAGGTAAGTCCTTACATTAGCATTGTGGGGGGACTTTTGACATTAATGTCACTTTAGGTGTAAAAAAAAAAACAACAAGTCCGATATAAAAAAAATTCAAAAACATATGTTAAATCCCCCTGCCCCGATGTACACACACATACACACATAAATATGCATTGGATGTGCCTACAAGCAAAAACAACAATTGTGCTACACATGTTACAGATCGCCCCGAACGTCAGAGTGAGAGCAATCATTCTAGGGCCATCATTTTTTATATTTTACCAATAAATTGGATATTATATTCATAGTACGCACTAAATTCACTTTGATGTATTTTTCCCCTAAAAATATTGACTTGGTAAACATTTGTGCAGATATCGTGGGAGCGAGATAAGTCATTATCGCCAAGGCAAGGAGCAATAAAGTCGTAAAAATGGTATTTGCTGCAATTTTGTCACAGGGAGGGGGGGTAGGCAGGTGAGTGGAAGTTGTTTAAATGGGTGAAGGTCGTCATTAAGGCACATACAATGAATAACTAAAATTCCTAGAACCCAAATACTGCTAAATAGCTTTGCTCATTTGTAATTACATTAGAACACAGCCACTTTCAAATGCAGAGGAACCAAATGAATGTGCCGCGAAAGCACAATCCATGCAGAACTGACCATGTGATAGCACAATGAAGGTTTACAAGCACATTCCTCATGCAGCATTAACATGGATCTACACTCTGCCTTGCATCCCTTACAATCACGGAAGGTGCCATCTTGGCCTTAATTTGGATGGCACTTGCCATGATGCTGCACAGTGCACATGTGATCAGCTATGATACCGGCCATTGCAGGGCTTGAAAGATTGGTTGAGAGCTGAAATAAGCAGACTGGTAACTGGTAACTTTCACAGTTGGTGAAGAGTATCTATTTTTGGAGGCATTACATGGGTGGGTAAAGTCCCTCTTAAACCCTTTACCTGCCAAGGTGTTTTTTGCACACGTTATAATCCACATTTTAGGCCTGACAACTACTTAAAGCCCCTAAAAGTTATAGAGAGACATTGTAGAATAAAATGGCGGCAGTTGCAAATGTTTTTTGCTTGATATTAGTGCAACTCTTTATAAAACCTAAAATTCCAGAAACATTTAGACTTAAAGTAACATTAAACCCTCATATTTTTTAACATAAACCAATACTGTAATGTGTGCCTTACTGTAATCCATGGTTGTTTCCCTTCTCTTTGCTGCTCTTCCTTTTAAATCCTCATGTCTTCTCCTGCTGGGGAGAACTTCCCTTTTCAGCTCAGGACCTCTTCCTGTAGTGCTGGATCAGGTTTCAAGCCTATACAAACGTATACACAGACACCGTGTATCCATTCCTGAGACAAGGCAGTCTGCTACAAAACAGAAGTTCTGCCCAGCATGAGAAGAGATACAGATTTAAAAGGAAGAGCAGCAAAGAGAAGGGAAACAACCATGGATTACAGTAAGGCACACATTACAGTATTGTTTTATGTTAAAAAATCTGAGGGTTTAATGTCACTTTAAGTAAATTTTAGTGCACAAAAACACAATGAAAATACCCATATAAAAGATGAAGTTAGGACAAGTAAATAGATACAGTACCCAACGTGCTGAGGTTGAAAATTGCGTGCGTCCGTTAAATGGTGACAAACTACAGTACCCCAAATTGTCCATAGGTGACGCTATAAAAACCTGTATAGGTTATCACTTTAGAGCTAACTTTTAATTTTGGCCCTCGGTTTATTGATTGCACTCTGGCACACACAGTGATACCCACAGTGTACCGCAATTGCCATTTTCATACATATGCACACCTGGCACGTGTTTATGTTAGTATGTGCACAATCGCAGGGGCAGAGGGACTTTAGCTTTTTTTCCCCCGCTATTTCAACATTTATTTAACTTTATTTTGTAAAACTTTTTTTTTTACTTAACTTCACAGCACATTGGAGGTAACAGGTTCTCTTTAAGATGACATTGGGGACTATTAGACCCCTAGTGTCATCTTTCCACTGTAAAGAAGCTATTCAAGCACAGCTTCTCTAGCCAGGGAATTACAGCTGAGAAGCCGGAAGTGATGCAATCAGTGTCGCTTCTGGCTATATTAAGCAGGGAGGAGGTCGGCAAACAGAGGTTCACTGGTCTCTTTCCCAGACTGGACTCTACCTGCTTACAGGGACCTGAAGCCAGCCCTGTAAGGGATACAGCGCAAGCAGGGTTAAAGGGTAAGTCCACTCTCACAAAATGTGAGAAAATTAGCTTACCAACTCCACTCCACAACCTCTCCCTGCCCCCAAAAGTGCTTCCTCTTGGCTATTGTTGGTCAATGTGGTCATGTGACTGTGCTGACCAATCAGCGCTTGCAATTTGCGGACATTATGCCTAATACTAGCTGCAAGACTGCAGTGTGGTGTATGATGGAAGGGAAGCTCTCAGAGGCGTCCCCAGGCCGTGTGTCACCCAGAGCGGGATGTCATCACACACGCGTATGAAATCATTACTCATGCAGGCAATGTCATCACGCACGAGCATAATGACGTCACACACACTTAACAGAGAGCAGGGGACATTCATCCGGTGGGATATGGTTTGCCACCGGGTCCTCTCCTCTCTCGTACAGCTGGTCATAGACCGAGTGCCTGACTTTACAGAAGGGGTAACACCAAAATGACTGTGAGCCATTTTGGTGTCACCCCCTCTGATGGTGTCACCTGGTGCGGGCTACACCCCCCTTGTAACCCCACTGCAAGTGCTTACACTGTAAAGGCATGAACAGTGGGGGCAGGGAGAGGTGGCGAAGTGGAGTGGGTAAGTTAATTTTTTCTCATTTTGTGAGAAAGTGGACTTACACTTTAGAGTAGAACTTAAGTCAAAACTGTCTCTTCCTTTTGGATAGAGTAAGTGGAGTTATAATCACTGTAAGCTTTTTTTTGCCATGGGGGAGATTTTCCTTTACTTCCTGTCTGATAGCTACAACAGGAAGTGAGAGGAAATCCCTCCAAAAGAGAGAGAAATCTCTGGTAATCAGTAGAACTAGTGTCCCCATCCACAATGGAAGAATCCCCCTCTTTCCCTTTCCTGATGACAAGCCAAAATGTAGGATATTCTTTTACTTTCAGTGATAATGGTCCTCAGGACAAATAGAGAGGGGGATCTCTCTAGTGGGGACACCACAATAAAGACCTAACAAGTGTTCTATTCCCTCTCCACTATATTTAAAGCTAAAAAAAAAGATTTTGGCCTCAGTTGCACTTTAAGGTTATGTGCTACTAAAGATCATTCAGAGAGAACGAGAAGTCATCTAGTGAAGGAAAATATGGGATTATTTGACTGCAATTACAAGGGAGGTGGAAGGAAGATGAGCAGATTTTCTTTCTGATGTAGGTAGAGCAGACATGACAGTGACTTTAGGATCACACCGAGCTCACGCTCAACACGCATGCGCACAAGATCACAGTGAAGGCAGCGTTCCCTTTAAGAGCAGATAAAAGTCTCCCGAGGGTGTGGCCGCGTGTTCTGACGTCAGAGGCGGACTGGGTCCCTGCTGGAGGTGCTGCTGGTGCCGGGGGGGATGGCCGCCTTCAGGAACCTGTCAATGGTGATCGGAGCGGCGGTGGCAGCGCTGGGCTCGGTGCTCGTCATTGCCTGGAGCCGCTACATGCCAGGCCGGAGGAAGTACAGGAGGACGGGCTACCAGCTGGAGTACAGCCCGCTCAGCAGTCAGGTGAGACCCCCGCCCTGGAGGGTGGATGGGAGATCACAGCTCGGGTCACTATAGAGAGGAGGATCACTCCACATCAGCTGCATGGGGTCACAGGGAATCCCTCTGGCCGCCAGTGGCTTTGTGTACTGAAGTGACCTCTTCTGGGATCACACACGCCAATCATATGAAAAGTGTGATGACAGGAAGGAGCAATCATAGCAACACAATCCTTGGACACTACATTGACAGCTGCAAGCTGATTGGTTGCTGCATGGTATTTTAGTACATGATTGCATACTGTTCCTGCTTATCCCCAGATGACCAGTCAGCAGAATGCAGCATTTATTGTTACACTCTGACAGTACAATCTTCACACTTGATACAATATGATTGTACAATCTAGATCTGCCAAGACACACAGTCTGATTGAATCGATTAGATAGGTCTTCATATAATATAGTTTGGTAAATGTAAAGTTGATTGTACAAGGGTTGTAGGGTCAGACAATAATGTGTATGGTGACCCCTTAGCTTTGCCACCCCCCACCTATACCTACCTTTGCTCATTACTAAGAAGCTCTTCTCATTGGTCAGCACAGGCAGGTGATCGCCATTTGTGAGTGCAATTCTAAATATAGAGTGCAGGGCTGCACTGCCTTGTACAATGTATGGGTAGTGCATTGGCGGAAGGGAAGGAACATTCCCCCAAGGCAGGTATATGGGGGAGGAGAGGGGGCCAGATTGGAGGGGGCAATTCCATTTTCCCAAATTCACCTGGGAAAGTGGAATTACCCTTTAAACTATCCGATCAGTTTGTATCCAATCAGGGCGGCCTTCACACTACATAGTCAATGGTAGATCTAAAGGAGATTGCATGGTTAGATTGTAACGTGTGTGTGTGTGTGTGTAGAGCATTGAGGTGGCCATACATGTATAGCTTTTATAATTGATTTAGGTTTGAGTGATTGTAAACAAGTGATTGATCATCGCTTAAATTATTGAACAATGCACAATATAAAGTATTGACGGAAAATCAGATCTATTAAAAACGATCATTTCATTGATCCGTATCCTGATCAGTTGTCTGACACATACACAGATACTCATATGATCGATTAGAAGCAATTGATTACATTTCGCTACGGTTGATCGACCTGCCAACAGTGCGATCAATTGAAAGCTTAGTAAATTGATGGAATGGAGGACCTGTGATTTCCAATTGTTATTCAGCACGATCATGTAAGATACATTGAACGATCATATTGAGAGGTGTGTTGTTTTCTATTATTTGCCGTGCTCGAGTATTACTTTCCTAGTCACTCAGCCATGGCCTGCAGGGAGCGCCTCTTCTATTTGTCCCCGGATTGCCGCTGCCGTGTTATATCTGACATCAGCAGTAAACATTGACAGTGTGTCACAAGATCCGGCACATCGTTTCAGAGAGGGGGACAGGAGTGTGATCTGGCATGGTGCCACAGATCTGTAGTCTCATGAGGACAAGTGGGGGAGCTGTGTCTGTGATCAGGAAGAGCTGAGGATCTGATACCCCCAGAAGTGTCAAATTCCCAATTGATTTCATAGACCCCCCTCCTACTTACCTTTGGGCAAGTGCTCCTTCCCCTCTACCAGTGTACGTGTACCCCTCTACCAGTGATCGTGTGCTACCTGTACCCTGTACTGCTGTGTAGCGCCGCCCTGCGCTCTGGATTTATAGCAAGAAGCCCTTCTAATTCTCAGCACGGTCATGTAACCGTGCTGACCAATGAGTGCTCACTATTTGCGAGCAAAATTTGCAATACCGAGGGGAAGGAGCGTTCGGAGGGAAAAGCAGTG